ATCTCCTGTTGAGTTCGTAGGTGTTCAGAATGGTTTGATCCCTATTCAGCTGAATTCCTGAGACCAGACAAAAGCCAGGTCTCCTACTCCTCCACCATCTTGCTCTGCCCCCTCTCCCTACATGTTCTTAATGGAGTAACCCTTTTATCATTATGAAATATCCTTCTTTGTCCCTAATAACAATTTTTGTCTTAAAGTTTATTTTTTCTAATATTAGTAAAGCCACTCCAACTGTCTTTTATTTAGTTTGCATGGTATTTTTCCCCCATCCTTTTCTTTTCAGCCTCTTTGTGTCTTTGAATCTAAAGCGTGTCTCTTATAGACAGTACATAGTGGATCAATTTTTTAAATCCATTTTGCCAATCTCTGCCTTTAATTTGGAGTATTTAATTCATTTATATTTAATTACTGATAAAGCATTTATGTTTGCCATTTTGCTACTTGTTTTGTATGTGTCTTATTTTTTGTTCCTCTTTTTTTATGACTATTTTTTGTTATATACTTTCTAGTATACCATTCTAATTTCCTTGTCATTATTTTTACTATATATTTGAGTTATTTTTTTTAATAGTTCCCCTAGGGATTACAATTATCATCTTAATTTTTAACAGTGTAGTTTGGATTAATACCAACTTAATTTCAATACTATCATGAAACTCTGCTTCATTTCCTACTCCCTCCTTTGCACTGTTATTGTCATACAAATTACATTTTGATATGCTATGTGCCAATCAACAGATTTATGATGATTCATACAGTTGTGTTTTAATCAGATGGAAGAAAAGAATTTAAAAATACATTTATACTGTCTTTTATATTTACCTATGTAGTTATCTTTCTGGTTCTCTTTATTTTTTATGGATTTAACTTACTGCCCAGTGTCCTTTTATCTCAGCCTGAAGCACTGTCTTTATTATTCCTTATATAGCAAGTATGCTGGTGATGAATTTTCTGTTTTTGTTTATCTGCTGATGTCTTTCTTTTTCAATTTTAAACTGTAGCTTTGTTGGATATAGAATTCTTGGTTGATAGTCTTCTTTCTTTCAGCACTTTATGTCATCCTACTGCCTTTTGGCCTTTATAGTTCTTTAATGAGAAATCAGCTGTTAGTCTTACTGAGATCCCTTGTATGCGATGAATCACTTTTCACTTGCTGCTTTTAAGATTCTCTTTTTGTCTTTGGATTTTGAAAGTTTGATGATGTGTCTAGTCAATCTCTATTACTTTATTGGAGCTCATTGAGTTTCTTGAATGTGCAGATGAATGTTTTTCATCAAATTTTGGAGGTTTTTGTCTATTATTTCTGCAAAAATATTTTCTGCCTCTGTCTCTCTTCTTTTTATAGGATTGCCAGTATGCATATGTTGGTATGTTTGATGGTTCCATAGGTTTCTGAGACTCTGTTCATTTTTCTTTATTCTTTTTCCTTCTGTGCCTTGGCCTGGATAACCTCAACTGACCTGTCTTCAAATTCAGTGGTTATCTCTTCTGCCAGTTCAAGTCTGCTATTGAAATCCTTTAGTGAATATTGCACTTCAGTTACTGTACTTTTTAACTCCAGAATTTCTTTTTACCTTTAATATCTATCTCCATTAACATTCTCTATTCAGTGAGGCATTATTCTTTTCTCTAATTCTTCAAAAAAAATATTCATTTATTTGAGAGAGAGAACAAGAAAGCACAAGCAGGGGGAGTGGCTGAGGGAAAGGAAGAAGCAGGCTCCCCACTGATCAGGGAGCCTGATGTGGGGCTTGATTCCAGGACCCTAGGATGATGACCTGAGCCAAAGGCAGATGCTTAACCAACTGAGCCACCCAGGAGCCCCTATACTTTAATTCTTTAGACATGATTTCCTTTAGTTCTTTGAACATATTTATAATAGCTGATTTAAGTCTTTGTCTACTGGAGCTCCTGGGTGGCTCAGTTGGTTGGGCGACTGCCTTTGGCTCAGGTCATGATCCTGGAGTCCCGGGATCGAGTCCCACATTGGGCTCCCTGCTTAGCAGAGAGTCTGCTTCTCCCTCTGACCCTCCCCCTTCTTGTGGTCTCTCTCTCTCTCATTCTCTCTCTCAAATAAATAAATAAAATCTTTAAAAAAAAAAAAAGAAAAAGAAAGTCTTTGTCTACTAAGTCCTCTTCCTTAGGGATGGTTTCTGTTGGTTTCCTCTCCCCCACTGTGTATGAGCTATACTTTCCTGTTTCTTTTTGTGTCTCCTAAACTTTGCTGAAAACTGGACATTTTAAATAATATAATCTGGCAATTCTAGAATTATATTCCTCCCCTTTCCGAAGGAGGTGGAAGGGCAGAGGGAGAGAGAGAATCTCAAGCAGACTCTGTGCTAAGCATGGAGCCTGACATGGGGCTCTATCTCACAACCCTGAGATCATGACAGGAGCTAAAACCAAGAGTCAAATGCTTAACTGACTGAACTACGCAGGCACCCATGAGCAGACAGATTTCTTGAGCCAATAAGTCTGTCAGCTTTTTCTGACACTGTGTGTGTGTGTGCGTGCGCGCGTGTGCATGCATGTGTGCACGTGCATGTCTGTTTTGGGACATGTGCCTAATGCTCCTGCAGGCAGTTTACAACTCTGTCTTAACTTTCACTTCCTGCTTGAGAAGAGCCTCGAAGTTAGCTAGAGATGAGATAATAGGGTCTTTTCAAGTCTTTCCCAGGCGTATGTACAGTGCTATACATGAAACTGGCCTGGTACATTCCAAAGAACATTTTGGAGCTTTTCAAATCTCCCCGTGGACATCTCATTTCCCTTTTTTTTTTCCTTCAAGTTTTTTCATTAGGCTTTTGTTAGCCCCAATTTATATTGCTGCCTTTGGTAGCTGTGATGTTAAATAATTGCTGCTGATCGTTTTCAACAAATGCCCTAATGGGTAAGGTTATTATCATAGAGCAAGCTCTGAGTTTGGCAAAGTCAAGTCAAGGCCTGGGAATGGAGCTTTACAGGCAACTTTCAGACAGTACTCTGGAGATGAGACTTTGGGGAGCTTCAAACCTGTTTTGCCTCCACTCCCTTCACTGCCCAGTGAACTGATTGTTTTCACAGCTACTATAGTTGTGCATCTCTTGGTTTTCAAGGCCACTGATGAGCTGGGAAGAGTGGGATGGGAATAGGATAAATTAAAACAGCACAAAGTTTACTGTTTTTACTGATATTCAGCCATTTTTCTTGATTGGATGTGTCTTGGAACATTGCGAGTCTGTTAATTTTCAGAGTTTGGAAAAAGTGGATTTTGACATTTTTTTTGCCAGCATTTCATTGCTTTTATGGAAGAAGAGATCTTCAGAGGTCCTACCTATAAAATTGCTTTAGAGTACTTTTTAAAGATGGGATTGGGAAAAATACTAGTGACCTGAGGGAACTTTGAGGAAAGGTGAGCAGATTATTATTTTTATACAAATTATGTGTTATCTATATATTTCATAATATATTTATAAAAATATATAAGGTATATATGTTTTAATAGAAATTATTATATTATCCAAAGACAATTATTTGGAATAACATACAAATAGGGTTGTATTCCAGATGGGATTTTTTAGAAGTTTAGATGCTTATGGGAGCTTTACTGAATAGAAAAGTGAGAAGAGTTCATCAGTCTCAAAGGTTTTCTTTTTCTCTTTCATTTTGCTATTTTAGGTGTACAGAGCCAATGGACCAGATGGAACCATTGGCAGAGGTCAGAGAATCCACCTGCAATTATGGGACACAGCAGGGCAGGAGAGGTATGAGATCTTCAGTTATGTGTTCCTTACTGGAGGAAAGGGAACACCAGCTATGCCCTTCACACAGTACCTGAGCAGGAAGAGGCCAGCTGATTAGTTGACTTGCATCTAGATAAGACATGCTGCTAAATTAGCAGGAAATTTATCAGCCTGAAATGATAATGATGTCTGTTTCATACAAGGTCAAAGGAAAAATGAATCCTTTTCAAAATAGACTATCTTACTTCTGAAGTTTTTACTTCTTCCTTCTTTTTCCTCCTCCTCCTCCTTGCTTTGTCTTTCCTCCTCCTCCTTCATTTTTCTTCTTCTTCTTGTTCTTCTTGTTCTTTAAGATTTATACACTTTTCTCCATTTACTTTAGCTATTTACACAGCCACAAAGACAACTGCTGAATTACATGCATTATTCTTGCCTGATTATGGAAACCTCACAGAAAATCTGATTGGAATTAACTCATATGGTTAGAAGTTGCTTGATCAAAATAAGTCACATGAAACCTTGATATAAAATTTCTTTTAGTTATAGCTGCTGTTTTCTCTCACAGTTTCTTTGGAGTATTCTGTTTCGTTTTTATTTTTTAAAAGATTTATTTATTTGAGAGAGAGAGAGCAAGCCAGGGTGAGGGAGGGGCAGAGGGAGAGGGAGAGAGAAACTTTAGCAAACTCCCCACTGAGTGCGGAGGCTGACTTGGGGTTCAGTTTCACGATCCTGAGATCATGACCTGAGCCAAAACCAAGAGTCAGACACTTAATCGACCGAGCCACCCAGGCGCCCCTGAAGTGTTCTGTTTTTTAACTTTTTATTATGAAAATCTTCAAATATATACTACAGAGGATAGTATAATAAAATCATGTACATATTTCCCAGTTTCAGTAGTCATCAATTTGTAGCCTATCTTATCTCATGTATACCTCTATCCCTTCTTACCCCCTCCCCCAAATTATTTTTATTTATTTTTTAAAGATTTTGATTTATTTATTTGACCCAGAGAGACACAGCGAGAGAGGGAACACAAGCAGGGGGAGTGGGGGAGGGAGAAGCAGGCTCCCCGTAGAACAGGGAGCCCAAAACCCCAAATTATTTTAAAGCAAATTCCATTTATCAGATATTTTCATTTATAACTACGTTGGTATGTATTCCTAAAGGGTAAGGACTCTTCTTGTAAAAACACTGATTAGAAATATTTGAGAAAACTTAAAAAACAGATTAGATGACAAATTCATACGAGTATTTTCTTCCCTGGAATCTATGCCTGTCAGTTGCAGACGTTACATAAAAACGAAATAAAGTGGAAACTGACCTTTAGACGGAGAGAGAGGGGAGACAGCAGGATAAAGCCTTGGAAGAGAGAGTACCAAGAAAGGATAAGACTGAGTCAATACTACTCCCACCTTAAAGCCAAAGAAATGGTTATCAGAGTTATGAGACCTCTTCAGAGACTAAAATTAAAAGGTCATGGACCCCATCGCAACATCAAGTCAAGCTGAACTTTCTAGGGACAAAGAAAACATACACAGCAAGAACCATTGCTTTGGGCCTAATTAAGTAAATTCTTGACTGAGACTAAGGGATCATGAGCTAGTTCTTGTGATTCCTGTCCAGCAGTCTGATTTTTCAAATCACATGGTCCATTAACATATAAACTTATGTAAGTGATAAATAAGCGTCTTATATACTTTTGGAATATCATCATCCAATTTGTTTTTTTAATTTTTAAAAATTTACAGAGATTGTTTTTATTTTATTTATTTTTATTCCGGTATAATTAACGTACAGTGTCATATTAGTCTCAGGTGTACAGTAGAGTGACTCCACAGTTCCATACATTTCTCAGTGCTCATCATAAGTGTACTCTTAATCCCCTTTATATATTTCCCCCTTCCCCACCCCCCACCTCCCCTGTGGTAGCCATCAGTTTGTTCTCTGTAAGATTGAATTCCAAATATAACTTGATAATTGTTGGTGTTTTATAAGGTCTCAGTATATTTTCAGGTATTCTTTGTGGCTCTAGATAGCTATTTGATAGCATAATTTCCTAAAAATCTTATGTAATTAAGAGATACAATATGCGTATATAATGTGAAGTTATTAGAAACAATGGCACATTATTAAATAATTTGTTATTGATGAATTATTGGAAGAGGCCGAGGGCACTATTGGTAGTTTTATATTTCAGGAGTGGGGCCATGATTTAGGTGACCAATCTGCTTTTATGTTTCTAGGTTTCGTAGCTTGACAACAGCATTCTTCAGAGATGCTATGGGGTTTCTTCTGCTTTTTGATCTGACAAATGAGCAAAGTTTCCTCAATGTCAGAAACTGGATAAGTAAGTGCTATTGTTTCCCTATCTCCCACTCCCCCCTTCCCACAATACAGTGCTCTCTGAAATTCTACTTCTGTTGTAAGTTGTTTTGGAGGAGCTCCTAGTACTATTAAAAATGCTGTTTAAAGGAGCAAGGTTTTACTTTGGGGGCAAAGATTACTGAAATACTCTGCTTTTCCTAGTAATACTAACTTTGGTTTGTTGGGTACTTCTTATCCTGTAGGCACGTGGCAGCACTTTACATGTGGAAAACAGAGGGTACTCTCATCCCCATTTTATAGATAAGGAAACAGAAGCCCAGAAAAGTTAAATCTCTAAGTATCTGTTTGCCTATTGTATGCTATCAGGATTCATATCATCCAGGGTTTAATACATCTATTATATAGACATAAATATCTTTTGAAGGCTTAGTAGATCATACCCCTGGCTCCATGTCTCTTCTGTACTCAGAGCTTCCTTTTCTCCTTTTAAGGCCAGAGCAGTTGCCAGAAGGATCCCATCATGGAAGATTCTAAAATTACACTGGCAAAAGTGGTCCCCAGCACTATACATGCACACACACACCCTCATCTTGGCTCTTTGGAGAGATCCTAATCTCTTAAATGGTTGGTTAGCAGCCACTTAAAATCCTGCCACTTCATCAAATGACAATTTGCAAAAGTACACATTTCTCTATTAGTTGTATTAGTGCAAACCTAGAGAATCTCTTGGGGAAGGCTGTGATGTTAAATTCTTAACATCCAAATCCTTAAAATGAAAATACTTATTAAAAATACCTACTATTTAAAAATAACTTGGTGTTTTGGTATTACGAAGGGGTCATTGGCTGTGGTTTTGATAGTAGAAAACCTTATTTTTAAGGAGTTTTTAAATAAGTAATTTATATGGTGCATCGTGATTTTTCAAAGCATTTTCACATACTTTGTAGTTGATCCTCACAAGCACCCTGGGTGCAGATTCAGACAGGTGGTGTGTCTTTATTTTAGGATGAGGACTCTGGGCCTTGAAGAGTAGTGCTGTCCTTCTTGGAGGATGTGGAGTTTGGCTTTCCGTTCAGTAGCCTTTTATGCTCTTTCTTAACTAAGTTGATCATTATGGGCTGAAGAGCTATTTAATACTTTAAGTATAGGTTCCTCAAATTTAGTTATGCTCACTGGGCTTCACTTTGTTAAATGCCTGTGTTGCACACCTCATTATTTCGATTAAAGCTGAATGATGGTGGCTATTTCTAGTGCTTTATCCTCAGCCCTTGCTCATCATCCTCTTCTTTGTATCATTGTAACAAGTTCTGAGGCTTTAAGTCAAACACTGTAAGACTCTTATTAGAGATGTGCTCATAGAATCTTAGCATTGAGAGATCATCAACCCACCTGTTTTCACAGATAGAAATGGAAACTCTGAGACAGATAAATCTTGCCTATCTGGACTTTTTAGCTGATTAGATAAATAACAAAATTATGTGAAATGATATGTAATGTATGCATTTTATTTTGTTATCCTTATAGTGTAAAAGAATTCTTATCATGCAATTAGGTAGAGAAAATTTATGCATTTTGCAGATTTCATATCTTCAATGGAAAGTATTCTCCCCCAACCCGCCTTTAAAAAAAAAAAAAAAAGTTAGTGTTCAGTATCAGAGATAATAATATCAAATCTTAATTAGGAATAACAATTGTCTATACATTTTATTTTTCCTCTGCTTATTAGCATTTTGAATATTACAGGGATTATTCATTTCTTCTTTTTTTGTGGAAACAAAGGCAGTGTCGCCTCTTAAACAAGTAGCTGACTCCTGGGCCCTGAATGGCCTGGGGGAGAGGAGAGCAGGTCTGTAACTTCCTTTTAGCTTCTCCAGAGCTGCCCTGGCAGTCAGTTCTCTCTTGACTCCAAAGCTCTCCATGCCCCTTGGGAAGGTGATACATGCAAGTTCAAAGGTGAGCCCTGCTGAATTCAGAAGACGGAACAGAGAGCTGAGTCTTCTCTGCCTAACTCTGATATCTGAAAGGAATCAGGTAGTGTTGTATTCACTTATCTGTCTTCCTAGAGCTCAGAGAATGGACAGGTCATGCCCAGAGTTATTCCTCGAGTGGCAGCCTGTTTTGTAAAGAAACTTTAAAGTAGCCTGAATTTCTAAACATTGTTTCTGTAGCCTCACATGAGTGGTATAAAAGCCCAACAGGTATATATTTTACATGTTTTTGCCTGTATATTTTTATCCCTATTATTCTGCCTCTCTGAAGAGCAGTCCCCACACCCACTCCCTCCACACCCACCCCCTTTTTAAAACTGGTTAGAGTTCTACTTATTCTTTAAAATCTGGCAAATTATGGGCTCCATGAAATTTTCTGTAACTGTTGTTGGATTAAATGTTTTCCTTCCTCGTAACTGCTATTATATTTTGTACTACCTATAGGATTTTTAGCACATACCACCCTGGGTTGTAGTAGTTATTTATGTACGTGTCTTTTTCTTAGTGAGATTTTTTTTAAAGAATTGATTAATTTACTTTTTAAATAAGTAAGTCAGTCTTCGTAGACAAATTAGGAAGGAAGAAATAAAAGGAAAAATCACCAATAATCACACTTCCCAGAGTCTCCAAAATAAACAAATACTAGTAAACGTCATTAATGGTAATACTTACCTAGCACTTCTAAATACTTTAACATATTAATTTGGTGGTTCTCAAGAAGGAGTGTGGATCTGGATCACCCAGGGAGCTTGTTAAAACACAGATTCTGGGCTCCATATCCAGCATTCCTGATTCAGTAGATCTGGGGTGGAACCTGAGAATTTGCATTTCTAACAAGTTCCCTGGTGAGGGTAAGGCCCATGGACCTTACTGGGAGAATCACTGAATTAACTCACTTAATCCACACCTTAACCCTGTGAAGTAAGTACCCTCATTATTAACATTTACAGATGGGGAAACAACTTTCTCAGGGCCACACAGCTAGTAAACAGCAGAGCCAGGGTTCGGTCTTGGACACAGTCGGTTCTGAGTTCATGCTCATAATCATGACACTGGACATATATGGGGTTAATAGAGCACAGAGCCACTCTGGAGACCAGAAAGGTTTCACTGTAGAGGTAACTGTAACTGAGAGGCAAGTCTTAAAAGAAGGGGTGGGGATTCCTGGAAGGAAGGTTGTTGTTGGGTATTCAAGCACATGGGGAGAGCATGTGTACCAGCCTGGAGAAAAGAAAGCACATGTCAGTTATTGGAAACCTACACAGTTTGGTTTTGCCAATGCAGGCCTTGTTCCCCGGTTGTCCCTTGAGGGCAAAGGTCAGGGCCCTGAAATTCTGCACCAAGTATCTGGCCTATGTTAATAATCAGTGAATGCTTGCTGATTAGATTTTCTCTTGATAAGATATAATGAACATGACTTTGTAATGAGGAACTAAAATGTCAACAGTTTTTTGGTTAACCATGATAAAAATAAATTAGGCCATACCAACTTTGAGCTATATCTTATTGTGGAAAGTTTGGGCTGCTTTAATTTTATTATGGGGTGTGATGAATACTTCTTTGGGAGGTTAAACTATTTAACTTAGTGAAGCTCTTTCTGTTTAATTGCTTTTTTTAAAAAAAAGATTTTATTTATTTATTTGACAGAGACACAGCAAGAGAGGGAACACAAGCAGGGGGGCGTGGGAGAGGGAGAAGCAGGCTTCCTGCAGAGCCGGGAGCCCCATGCGGGACTCGATCCCAGGACCCTGGGATCATGACCTGAGCCGAAGGCAGTGGCTTAATGACTGAGCCACCCAGGCACCCCTGTTAAATTGCTTTTTAAAAAAAGTGTGCCAATTTACAGGTTTTCAGGTGAAAAGAAATAAAAGCTGTGCAATAAGAATTGTAGTCTTCTGCTTCCCCTTAGTTCTGGTGACAGAGTCATTTCCTATTTATTCTATGTTTTCTCTCATTTAATCATATGTCTGTCTTATTTAAATTGAATTGGTTCTGCCTTAGGATAAGAGAAAAATGTGAAAACATTTCAGATGGAAACAAGCTAGTTCATAGGAAGACAGTTCTTTTAAAAATATTGCTATGGGGAGACACTATAGCTTTATGATTAGCAATAAGAACTAAAAATTCTCCAAGTTTTTTTCAAATGGCCTTCAATAGAAAGATAACCACAGGTGTGTGTGTAAATGGTCGTTTACATTCACGCGTGCACTTTTGGAGGGTTAGCGAATTCTCCTCTTCCTCTCTGATATAAATAAGGTGGGATGTGTGCTTAAAGATAATTTTACATCTCTGTCCCATCCATTCAGTTTTACAGATTAGGTTATTGATGCTTTGAAAGCATTCTATCATTTCCTTATGTCCGTACATCCACTTAGAGTTTCCAGAGCACTTTTGCATATATTCTCCATTGATCACACACATATTATTTACCTATAATAATTTTTCTTACAGGCCAGCTACAAATGCATGCATATTGTGAAAACCCAGATATAGTGTTATGTGGCAATAAGAGTGATCTGGAAGACCAGAGAGTAGTAAAAGAGGAGGAAGCAAGAGGACTTGCAGAGAAATATGGGTGAGTACTTTTGTGGAGAAATCTAGAGAAAACATTCCCAATTCAAACATTAGCACATGAATGGATAACAGAAGATGCAAAAGCAAAAAATTGGAACACACTCAGATGTAGGCCTTGGGAAGTATAAATACCTACTTTACATATTAATATTATGTGATAGTGGGCACCCTAGGAAAAACATTGGGTGAGGGCCATGCTTCAGTCCCATTTTCTCAATCTCTTGGTGTTTAAAGACACCTTTGAGGGCAAATGCCCTAACTATATAAGGCTGCTTTCCCAAGATGCAAATAGGAGATGCATGGGGTAAGAAAATTCTCTCTATTCAGCAAGAAAATCTCAAAGCCAGTTCATGTGCTGCTGTAGAGAGCCCCAGCATACAAGAAGACCTATCGGCTTTGAAATTTCTATGCTGGGAGAGCATAGAAATTCCCATGGTTTAGGTTGTGTTTTTGTGGTGGAGAATCATCTAAATACTGTCTTCTTCCTTGAACTCTGGGAATAGGATCACAGTAGCATTAATTGGACATGAAAGAAAGGGTTAGCCGCTGCTTATTAAAATGTCAAGGGTATCTCTGCAAAGGAATTTGTGCTTTACTTTCTTTCTGCCTCTAATACAATGAGAACTCAAATGTGTATATATTAATTACCTTTAATATAAGTGGGAGGCAGCAAGTGGAGTTGAGAAGGAAGGGAAGGGAGAGAGAGAGGTAGGGGATGTTACCCAGCTACTGGCCCTGGTTTTTAGGCAGAATCCAAGGAAGCTAGAGGAGGGCCTTTCTCTTTTTATTGTGTGACAACTGCTTTGTTCTTCCTTGGACTGATGGAAGGGGGGCAGGGAGTTGCTGAAATCCTTTGAACGTGGAGGGATGTGATAAGTACTTCTCTAGATCAGTCTGGGGGTAGTGGGTGGGGTGAAGTGAAGGGAGGAAATACTAGAGACAGGGAGATTGTGGTGATCTGTTAGATGGCTAGGGGCTGCATTTGTGGAAAAGAAAAAGGAGTAAATCAGAGAAAATAGGTAGGGTGGGGGCAGAACAGGATTTTAAATCTTTTTCAATTCTAGGGGTGGGGCAAGACAGCATGGGGTTGGGGAGTGTATCCATTCCCATCAACTATACTGGCTCACTCTGGCACAGATTTGCAATAGGTTGTGGGGGTTTTCACTCTAGGGTAGATGGTGCCTAACCATGTTAGAAGCACCTGAGGAGCTTTTAACAAATGCCTGTGTCTGGGCCTCACCTCTGAGCTTCTGAGGTAATTTGTCTGGAGTGGTTTATCAGGCAAGATTCAGTGGAAGAAACATACTTACGTATAAAGGGATTTGGTACAGGTGTTTGACATTATGCACTTGTGGGAGCTGGTTAAGTAATCCTTACGGTGTTATTTTGACACTGAAACTTGAAGTCCACAGGTCAGGCAGTCAGGAAAGGAAGGTGTTTAAGGTGGGGAGAACAAACACCAGCTAGGACCCATAATGACAGAATGAAACCTGCCTCCATGCTTGTTGCCTCTGACCTGGATGGTCTGGGTATCCTAGAGAAGCCAGGGACCTTTGTCACAGGGCTAAGCACGTGCACCTGGCCGAGGAGTTGGAGAAACTGAAGGAGGATCTTGGGGAAGGTGGAGCAGGTCCAGATCTGGTTGCTGGTTTATGCCAACCAGACGAGCCAGCAGGTCAGCAGTGATGTATGAGAGCTTTGGAAAGGCTGCTGCTTCACTTCCACTCCCCAAACTCCCCCAAACCTCTCCTGCGATCCACCCTAACTGGAAAGGAAATTCTCAGAAATGTTGTTCAACCTTACCAAGATGACATGTTACAAAACCTCCGCAGGTGGGGGCCTGGGCATTGGTGTCTCTTAAAAGCTCTCCACATGATTGTCATGTTAGAAGTACCTGGGGAGCTCTTAGCAAATACTTGGATCTGGGCCTCACTTCTGATCTTCTGACACAGTTGGCCTGGAGTAGTGATTCTGAGGTGGAGGCTGGCAAAGCCCCACAGGCGATTCTGATATGCTCTTCTACTCTTGAAAGGCACTCGGGTAATGTGGTAGGAAGGAAAGAGGAAGGCCAGATACCACGGAGAATACTGAAGTGTCGAAACTGGGAGCTGGGGAGCTATGTTGCAAGGGGGTGAGAAGGAAGTAAGTGATGAAGCAATGGAAACTGTGGACCTAGACCATGCTTTTGAGACGTATGTTAGTGAGGCCAAAAGAAAGAGGGCATCTAGAGGAGTTAGCTAGAGCCAGCAAGTATGTTCTCAAGTACTGGAGGGGAGCCAGGATAGACTTCTTCCCCCACTGGGTTTCTTCAGCCTTTTTTTGTTTCTTCTGTTCTGGTTCTCAGGATTCCACTTCCTGCCTGGTAGCAAAGAGCCCGGCATTGCCTTCTGTCTGTAGGCAGAGTCTGGGGAGCCAGGGATTGTCTTTCATCTGTGCCCAGCTCACGAGGTCTGGGGAGTACTTCATAAGGGGGGCTCAATCTCAGGTTTCTGAGTTAAGTTAAAATGAGAGAAGGGATTAGCAGATAAGATAATGGAATCTATTGGAGAAGAAAGGAAAGAGATGGAAACAGAATTTCCTTAGGAATTAGGAAACATAAAATACTGTTCTGGGGGCACCAGGGTGGCTCAGTTGGTTAAGTGTCCGACTGTAGGTTTCAGTTCAGGTCATGATCTCAGGGTCGTGAAATCAAGCCCCATGCAGGCTCCTCGCTGGGCATGGAGCCTGCTTAAGATTCTCTCTCCCTCACCCCCAACACACATGCACTTGCTCTCTCTCTCTCTCAGATAAATAAATCTTTAAAAAATATAGTTCTGGCTGTTTGGCAATTTCAGAAGCAAAAAGAAACAGTTTAGTGCATATGCATTTCACAAATTTGGCATGTAAGTTTAATGATTATTTTCACAGATTTTTTTTTTCATTTTTAGTCCTATTTTTATTGATTGCACATGTACTAAAGCGCTATGTTGGTCACTTCATCTCCATGCTAATAGTGGTAAAATAGAGTATGGTTAATGGCACATCTTCATATCGTTTGTATGTTGTCTGAGAAATTTGCATTTTTTGTTACTATTGTGCTCCCTTTCCCCCCCAGTACCTAAAAATGAATCATCGGTTCATAGAGCTTCTCTTAAATATACATGCACTTGGAGAATGAAAGACTATGTCTCAGAAAAATTTGGCAAACCTAATAAAGAACATGTTATAGTACAAATACGGAAAATAAATCTGTGAGGACAAATAAATCTGAGAATAAGACTCTCATGCAGTAGCCAAAAATGGAAAGGGTGAATTGAATGTATGATGAAGAACATCAGAAATTTTATGTTTAGTAGACTAAGAATATATTAGCCTCTAATTCCCTGTAATTTTTAGGTTTTTCTAGAACAAGGGCAAAATAATGCTTTCTAGTATGTTATATTGAAGATTGTCAATGAAGTCAGAGAAAGGAGCAAAACAAATGTTTGTCCAAACTTGTCCTCCTGCCAGTCAAAATGAGGATGGGCAACACTGTTGCCAAAACACTTTAAAAAATAGCTACAAAGTCCAATATGTAAGAAGAGCAAACAGAACCAGCATTGGCAACATTCCTCTTTGAGGTGATACTATTGGATCTCAAACCTTAGTGTGTATCAAAATCACCTGAACTCTGGCTCCCCGCCGGGGAATTTCTGATTCACTATATCTAGGGTGGAACCCAGACATTTATGTTTCTAATTCCCAGATGTTGCTCCTGCAGGTGGTTGAAGACAGCACTTTGAGAACCATTGGTGTACAAGTCACAGGTGTGCGTGCTGGCAGACACTTTCCTTGACACTATAGTTGAATAAATCATTATGCACAGAATATGAAGCAGTTGTCTCCTGTGCCATGCATGGGTGAAGGAAATGTGCTTAATGACTCATCACTGGAAAATCCATGTTTGAGGAAAGAGGATATTTTTTCTCTCTCACAGTTGATTAAATCAGCTGTGATACAGTTTGGGCAGGGACACTGGGATTGGTACTGAGGGAGTGCCAGCAGTGAGTGGGCAGGCAAGGACTTGGAGAGTAAAAATAGCTGCGTCTAAATGCCCTCCCGTTCTTCCTTTTTCACACAGGACAGTTGGTGGTCATTACAAGCCTTTCATTTCTGATTCTGAGTTGAAGGAAATACAGAAAATTGTGAATACGATGAAAGCATAATAATTGAATGTGTACATATTTCACGTGCTGTACAAAGGAACGGGTAGAACATTTTTTAAAATGGAGAATAACTGATATATAACATTGTATTAGTTTTAAGTGTACAGTGTAATGATTGGATATATGTATATATTGCAAAATGATCACCGCAGTAAGTTTGGTTAATATCCATCACCATATACAGTTATAATTTTTTTCTTTTTTTAAAGATTTATTTATTGATTTGACACACACACACAGAGTGAGCACAAGCAGGGGAAGCTGGAGAGGGAGAAGCAGGCTCCCCGCTGAGCAGGGAGCCCGTTGTGGGGCTCGATCCCAGGACCCTGGGATCATGACCGAGCTGAAGGTAGACGCCCAACCGACTGAGACACCCAGGCACCCCAATTTTTTTTTCTTCTGATTAGAACTTTTAAGGTCTACTTTCTCAAGGGCAGCCAGTTTAAGATGACTTTTCCCCACTAGAGGTTGCTGGCTATTGATGAGGAAGGTGCTCAAGAGTTTCTGGTTAATCCAGAAATGTGTTAATATTTATTTACATTAGTAATATGAGAACAGACAATTTCTGGGTTTCAAGTGGCTTAGCTCAGTGTCCTATCTAGTCTGAACTAGCTGAAATGTGACATGACTAGCTTGATCTCAAATAATTTGATTCTTTGCATACTTTATAACGTCCTTCCTTCACTTAAGAAATAATGATGTATCATTGGGTGGGCATGTTTTAAAACCACACACATAAGCTAAAACTAAACATACAAGACTGATTTTCAGAACCCCACACAACTCAGTGGAAGATCTAGATTTCATTTGGCACAATCTCCTAGGTTGAAACAGCCCATACACCAGCCATTTCTTGTAAGTGCTTGTTCATTTAGCATTCAACAGACTATGAAAAGTAGTGAGACTCCTATCTTAATTTAGTGAAAAAATTTTCCATAACATCTGGATCTACATGTGAGCCAAATATCTAGAACCATTTGACAGAACCATCAAATACCCTTGTTTTCATTCCTGACAACCTCTAACTGTAATCTAGGATCTTCTGGTTGGGTAGAAATAAATAATAGAAATCAGCTTGGTGTGGACCCTGACCTATTGCATAAGCAGGAGATAGATGCCCTGGTGAAAAACTATAAATGATGATAATACCCCTCCATCATTGATTTGAAGTAGTTTGCCATTTTGCTTATTTTGTTTATTTTAAAATCTGTGATTAATCTATTTCTTTTTGAAAAATGTACCAAAATTGGTGTTCTGCATGCATTTCAAACAGCTGTTAAGTGGTCATTTTTGGATTGCTATCACAATTAGCTGCACAGGATTTTTTCAAGTTTGACACTACTGCCCCTAGTAATGCTACATTAGCACCACCATGTGGAGAGAAGGAACAGTATCGCTCTCTATGGTTAAAAAAGGGGGACAGTTGATCCTCTTGAATTTAAGCTAATTTTACTAAATTTTTGCCTAGTAAGTTTTAGGAAAAACAGAATATTATTTTTTAGAGAAGGCAAAAACCCATTAGATTAAGATTTATTGAACACTTGCTGGATGCTAGGCTTGTGCTAAGTCCTTAACATGTATTATCTTGTTTCCTCCTTGCCATGACCCCATGAACCACTGTTACCCATTTTACAGGTATGGAGAAGTGTTCGGATAATGTAGCCCAAATGCCTTCTAAAAGTGAACATCTTCTAAAAGTGGACATAAAATAGTACTAACTCCATCCTCTAGACTCCTTTGCCCTTAGGACAAGCTGAACAGTCCAATTTTCAGATGTGAACACAAAGGCACATTTCTGTCTCTGGAGCATTATTTTGTTGTGGAAAGTCTTACTTCAGGGTCTTCTCTGTGGATCTCATTTGCTTCTCCTCTGGAAGCTTACAGAGTGGAGAGCAGAGTAAAGTGAACTCAAGTATTCATTAATTCTTGTAGAAACAAAAACCGCATTACCCCAGGTGTTCAGAAGACTCTGAATGATTAGTCTAAAGATTAAGATTGTTGGGGCACCTGGGTGGCTCAGTCGGTTAAGCATCTGCCTTTGGCTCAGGTCATGATCCCAGGGTCCTGGGATTGGTTCCTGCATCGGGCTCCCTGCTCAGCAGGGAGTCTGCTTCTCCCTCTTGCTTGTGTGCGCTCTCTTTCTTTCTCAAATAAATAAATAAATAAAATCTTAAAAAAAAAAAAGATTAAGATTGTTAACCAGACTCCCGGTCACATGACCCAGAGGTTCACAAATGGCAGGAAAATATCCTTGAAGGAGAGAAGGTTGTTCCTTGAATTTAGAGTTCTAAATCTAAACTACATCTTATTAAAAGATGTACAATATTAACACTAGTGACTTTAAAAAATTTATAACTTAACTCCTATACCCTGAAGTTCTACCAATTAAATACTTGCTTAAGTTAGTAAATATATTAGACAATAGCTTATAGGTCTGCTAGAGGCACCAGTCTTTTATACCTTAGTATTAATCAGTAAAGTAAGATCCGTTTCTCTCTGCATTTGGTGAAGATCACTTGGGGCAACAAGGAATCTGATGGGCACTTACGGTAGGCAGATACTTTGGATCATGAAGCACTTCAGCAAGGACAGGTCTGAGTGAGCCATCCCTGATGTAGGAAAGGAAACATGGTCCCAGGTACTAGAATTTAGGGCGGTACTGTACATCGCTACCTTATGGATTAAATCAATAGTTTGTAAGCTAGTTTGGGAATTTAGTGTTTATAATGTTGCTCAGGTCTCTTGGAGCTATGACTCTCTGACTCAGTGACATTTTTTCTATGGGATAATGTGTTCTGAGTGTTAACAAAATTACAAGCAAAATTTTTTAACCTAACCTATTATGTGTTGGAAATAAGAAACATTTATCAATGATACACATGTCAAAAATGATACATTTTATATGTGTCAGATTCTGATATAAACACTTTAAATGTTAACTCATTTAATCCTTATAAGAAGGTACTGATACTATTTAGTTTTAGGGATGAAGCAACTGAGGCACAGAGGTTAATGGCTTGCTAGGGTTACATAGTTGCTAAGAAGTTGTGCTAGGATCTGAATCCAGGCAGCCTGGCTTCAGAGGTTATGCCTCTTAACCAGTGTCCAAGATGTTTGTAACCTCTATGCATAGATTTTTATGGTTTTTAAAAGGATTTTCAACTATGATTTCTCATTTATGCCTCAAAAATAACTGAGCAATTTTCAGGAGCTGAGAGGGAAAAACTATGGAAAGTAGAAATAGCTTAATGGAAATTCAGTTGAGGAAATCAATGAGGCTCAAGATTTGAATTCGAAAGCTATTTATAATGGACTTTGAGGGGATTTCAAAAAATTAGATGTGCATTACTATGATAAGAAAGTTCTTCTGCTCAACTTCTTTCTTCCTCTCCTCTCTCATCTTCCTTTCCTTTCTTCTTCCCTCCTCTTCCTTCTCTCTCTCTGTTTGCATTTCCAATTTCAGCTTACTATTCTTGGGGAGAGGGATGAATGTTTCAGTTGCTTTTTCATGAAACAATTTATTTCTGAATGGTGATAGAATGATTAAGCCTTCTTTTTAAGCATGAGAAATGTTCTGTAGACATTAAATGATTCTTCATGGTATAGTTGAGAAAGTGTAGGATGAAGAAAATATAAATATTGAAATTTTGAGAATTCTCAATCTCAAAGTATTCCTGTAACAATGGCAGCATCAAACACTGTTCCATTGATATGCTCAATAACATCATAAGTACTCGACAAATAGATGTTAAATCCCCACAGAGGATGCCCTTTTAATACTTGGTAATCAAATACTGCATGTGGCCAGGGAAATGGGAAAGATGCATTATCTTCTTCTGTGGATAAGGCAGTAGTTGAAGGTGGAATTAAGAAGACTGACAACAACCAAAGATGTAGCCAGGCAGAAGGTTTAAAAACATTAAGACCATGTATTTTGCTCAGCATACCATTCTCTGATTAAGATATTTTAGAGTCCGTATGAGGGGTCTGAACATGAGCATGGTAGAATCAGTGGAACAACCATGTCTTGCAAGACTCACAGGTGGGTGGATAAATGCTCAAATGAATTACAAGTTCCTCAACCAGTTTTTTAGAGCTATTCTAAAGCAGGAGAGGATTGCAGAGGTCCGGTTGCAAGGCCTGTCAGCTCCTACAGGAAGTGTTCAGATAATAAGACAGTATCATGACGAATCATAATGGAGAAATAGCCTTCCGTTCCTACACATGTACCCCCTAATGTGCTTCTTAGTGATATGAGAAGCTAAGCAATTGGGGGAAGATCTGTAAAAGCACTAGGAAGTTTTAAAAAAAATCTATAAAAGCTCTCATTATGGAAGCTGCTTCTAGCCAAGAAATAATAAAAGAGTAACTGACATTGTAATCAGAGTTACTGATGTAGTGTTAACATGCTAGGAGAACACAGGAAAACAAAGATGTTCTCCAAGAAAAGTAAGAACTAGCGGAGGATTTTAAAGTCCCTAAAAATGTAAGGAACACTTTACTGAATTTAATTGCAGGACCCCCTGAGGTTCTCAAACAACTTTCTTTTGCAGTTTTTATATCTCAGAGCATTTTGGTCAGATTTCTTACTAAATAGCAGAAATGAACTCAATAGTTGGAGAAAATAAAGTTCTATCACCGTTTTCATGGCTTTAGTAAGAAGCAGGAAGAATGTGGAAGTTGATTAATCCTCTTGCAAAGACTAACCCACTGCAAGAAGACTGATTTCTCAAAATTATGTGAGAAGCAGGCTTATGGTTTTGAAACTGTTTGGTGAGTTATTAAAAAATCAAACATATACCAAGGTCCTTGGATAACAAAAGACTGATGTCCTTGAGAAACTCTGAGATGCTGTAGATTTCAGAATGTCTTCAAGTTTATGGTCCAAGAATACTGCCTGGAGTTGACAAGTGACAAACACAGCCGGTGAACTTGCATTCCTCTCTAATGTCAGTCCCACCCCAAGTGCAGCAAGCCAAAAAGGATTTGTTTTGGAAATCCTCATACAAAGTAGATTAGTTTGGAGCCAGTAGAATTTGTGGTTAAGATTCTGCTGGAATCAAGCAGGTGTGGATTCAAAGCCTAGCCCTGCTACTTTCTATCTTTATGAAATTGGGCAAATTACTTCATCTTCCTGAGCCTCAGTTTAATCATCTGCGAAATGGGAATGAAAATTTCCAGAGGTTTTTTTTTTTTTCTATTAGGAAGTCAGTGTCAATTATTTTATTGTCTTTTTTACTTTTTAACGTACCCTGTTGTAGTAGTGTTTTTTTTTTTTAAGATGTTATTCATGAGAGAGAGCGAGAGAGAGCACGCGAGAGAGAACAAGCAGGAGGAGGAGCAGAGGGAGGGAGGGAAGTAGGCTCCTTGGCAAGCAGGGAGCCCAACGCAGGGCTCTATCTCAGGACCCTGGGATCACCACCTGAGCTGAAGGCAGATGCTTAACCGACTTAGCCACCTAGGAGCCCCTGTGGTAAAGTGTTTTTATTGTCTTATATATTTATACTCATTTTTGAAGTTGCATTATCATAGGGAAAGGTCACGGTCTTTTTCCTTCTTATGTTGTTGCCTGAGTTGTCTCCATCTTGCAGAATCCCCTACTTTGAAACTAGCGCTGCCAATGGGACAAACATAAGCGAAGCAATCGAGATGCTCCTGGACCTGATAATGAAGCGAATGGAACGGTGTGTAGACAAATCCTGGATTCCTGAAGGAGTGGTCCGATCCAATGGTCACACCTCCACAGATCACTTGAATGAAGAAAAGGAGAAGGGGATCTGTGGCTGTTGAAGAGTCCAGTGAGCTACACAATAACTCAAGTGGTCCGTGTCTGTGATCTTTTCTATGAGTGATATATGTGGCACAGAGAGAGATGAGCAGGCATTATGTACAAACTGCTTCTACCGTCCCACTTAGACCTCTCCAGTTTTAAAATTCATTTGCTGCAGCTTTTAAATATTTAAGATTCAGCCCGAGAGTTATGAGAAATATTTCACATAGCCAAAAGTGCCTTATAAGACCTTAACCCATGGCAGGAGATGGTTCAGAATTGAGGATTTTGTAGCTACAGAAGAGTGCATTTATTATGTAGAATGACTAAAGATACCATCACCTGCCTTAACATACATCAGTCCAGAGTCTAACACTCAAAATCTTAGATACAATTATAAAACTACCCATCAGTCTTTAATCCAAATTAAAAAACCCACTTGTACTGTGGGTGACCTTGTAAAATGCCATCTAAACCACTTGAATGTTAAATAAGAATATACACAAACATCAGTTCAATGTCCTTGAGTATTAAATTTATATAAACAATCTCTTTAAAATGAATATAGCATAAATTATGCTTATATCTGTAGACTCTGGATAAAGTGGATTGACCAATTGTATACTCACTGAGGTTCTTGTTGGTAGGAAAGGGGTTGGGGGTGAGGTTAGGGGTATCTTAATGTAGTGTGAGCAACTGAAGTGGGGCCTCTAGCTCCCTGCTATATTCCTACTGCTCTGAAGGGCTGATTGAAGGATCAGCGAATTAGATTTTTATGGCTGTATTTCATTGTGATCTGTGTGTTTATATTTGGCCTACATGCTGGCCACATTTGAACATAGCTGGTGCTTATGCTGAAGTTATTTGTGATAAGTAAGCATTTAGCTTCTTTTTTCTTTCATATTTATAATGTTGGTCTGGCATCCTCAGACTGCAGTTTTAATTAGCTTGTGAACTACTAATCTTTTGTCTTCACCATCATGCTTTATATTATTGATATTTGCAACCTGTTTTATTTTTACATTGGTGGAATTAAAGGAATTAGATTTTAATTGCATAAAATGTTTGCTATTTGGTAGAAGAAAGCTGTATTTAAGCAGTTACATTAATACTATAACTCAATATAAGAAAAATGAAGCCTTAAATAGCCTATATTTTTTATTTAGATCACAGGCATTTATTGTACTCTCTGGGTATTGCCAAGGTCATGGATTCCTCTGCATTGTCTAAGTGTCTTTATATCAATCAACTTTAAAATATGCTTAATGGCAGGTGTTTATAAAGGTCATAGGGGAAAATTCTTATTTATTAAAGAAAGTGGTTTAAGTAAATTAGATTAAAATTTCCAAAGAACTTAATGGTTATTTAGGAAGAATTACCATTCATTGTAATTTAAACAAAGAATAAAAATAAATGTATTTTGTGGTGGCAAATGATTGGAAGAACTGTAATTAGAAAAATACAGCCATGATGGAAGTAATTACTTTTACATGGTAATTTTCAAATAGCTGTTTTTTTTTAATTTTTATTATGTTAATCACCATACATACATCTTAGTTTTTGATGTAGTGTTCCATGATTCACTGTTTGCGTACAACACCCAGTGCTCCATCCTATTTCTTTGGTGCTTCCTTCCTACTACTCCCTTAAAAAACTTAGCTGTGAGTAATGAGATCTTATATATTTCTATCCCTGAAATGAAGACTTCTTGTTAATACTAAGAAAGTCATTGAGTCCTGTGCATTTGGATTGTGTATTCCAGTAAGGAAAAGATCCAGACATTACAAGGGCAGGGTCCTAATCACAAACAGTGCCTTCTAAAGTTGCCATAGACTTCAGTTTAGCAAATCATAATTTTATAGCTACGTATCAGGCAGCATTTTATATGGTCTATTATGTAGTTAAAAAGAAGACAATATTTATGTTTCACTTTTTTCAAGAACCAAACAAGCAATTAGCTACATATCCCATTGGCTTTAAGCATAATACACAAACATATACATGATATAGTGCACATGCAAGAACCATCCTTAACTATTGAAATAAATAACCTGTATTGTCTTTGGAAATCCTTTGTTTGAATTTGGTATCAAAGTATCATTTTTGTGCATCAGTGTATTTTTCTATTTATAAGACTGTGTAAAAGTAAAGTGTATCCTCAGTGAACTTTGTGCCAAGTAAGCTTATAATTAAAAAGTGGTCTCATCTGCCAAGTTTGTGTGTGAATATGACTTCATTATACCTCTCCTTCTGAGGTATTCTGGGGTATTCTGAGGTATTCTGGGGATTCTGCTCAGCATGGAGTCTGCTTGAGATTCTACCTCTCCTTCTGCCCCTCCCAGCTGTGCTCTCTCTCTCTCTCAGATAAATAAATCTTAAAAAAAAAAATATAAGCTCCATGACAAATGGGACTCAGGCAGCTTTCTTCAAAATTGTGTTGCCACTACACAGAAAAGGGCCACTACACAGTAGGTTATTGGTGAACTGCACAAAGGCCTTAAGTGGCAGCAGGGTCAAATGAACGGGTTTTCAAATAGGAGACTGTTAATGTTCAAAGAGGAGTAGAATTTGAAAATAAAAACAGCTTCAGAAATGTTTAGACAGGCTCACATATGTTTATCGTTTATGTGAGAAATTAGGAAATCTGAGAAGTACATTCTGTATCTTAAAGTTGATGTCAAGATTGCTAACAATCTAAAAAGTGTTCACAGGGAATGTTTTGATTGACATTTTTATAAACTGGAAATTTCTGTATGGTATTTCCAGGTCGTCTATTTTTGGCAATATTGGTGACTATAACTGGAAAATTCTTCCACTATAAAACATTTAGATAATGCTGAATAAAATATAATGAATGTATTTTTTAAATGTAGTGTTGATCTCTCAATAAAGTAAGGGAAATATCCTGTGACCACCCCTTTCACCCCACAAAACAGTAACAAGGGCAACAGCAATGGCAGCAACAGAGAGAAATTTCAACAACCTGATACTGAGTGTGGTTTGCTTTTGGTTTCATTTCGCCAGTATTAATAATCAAGATGCTTGGTTTTAGTGACTACATGCCATTGGGAGAGAAAGTCTTGGATATGGCAGAGGTAGGGCCCTGGAATGGAGAAGCCCTCACCCCTAAACAGACAAAAATCCAGGGCCCACTCTATGTCTTAGTCTTTCCTGAGAAATGTATAACCTTTTACACAGGTTTAGGGTTCAAATTTATAGTACCTATTTTTTTTTGTCTGCGAATGGCTAAGCCAAGAGGTTAACATTAAAAAAGTGATTTGTGGTTGGTAATACCTCTGGACTACTTAGTAGAAGCAAAGCAAAATCTTTTCAGAGAGAACATCTCCACCCATACTTTACAGGACTCTTCCAGAAAACAATCTACTAAGGATGAACTCAAAATTAAAAAATGACAACCCATTCCTTCCCTACTCTCTCAGCCTCAATCATGAGCAAGGGTCAGTAAACCCAAAGCAGCAGTATTTTACATGAAAGGACTTCAAACAATATCAGATGGGGACCATAAAGTAAAAATGTTTAAGAAAATTACAAACGTAAGAGGAGTTGAAACATCTGGAAAAAGAAGACATTATTAAAGATAAAAGATTGGTTTCAGGGCGCCTGGGTGGCTCAGATGGTTAAGCGTCTGCCTTCGGCTCAGGTCATGATCCCAGGGTCCTGGGATCGAGTCCCTCATCGGGCTCCCTGCTCTTTGGGAGCCTGCTTCTCCCTCTGCTTCTCTCTCTCTCTCTCTCTCTCTGTCCCTCTCTCTCTCCCTCTGTCTCTCATGAATAAATAAATAAAATCTTTAAAAAAAAAAGATTGGTTTCAATGAAAAAAGACTTGATACATGAGAAATACAGTCACTGATATTCAAAACTTAATGGTCAAAAGTTAAATGGCAAGCTTGACACAGTTGGAGCGAACTAGAAGCCAGGCTGGAGGAAATTACATAGACTTCAGCAGAGATAAAGAGCAAGTAAGAGATACAGAGGAAAGATAAAAGCTTCAATTTATGTCCAGTAGGAATTCTAGAAGGAGAAATTAGAGAAAATAGAAGAAGCACTATATGAAAAGAGCTGAGGATTTTTTAGTAATGATAAAACACATACTTTCAGATTCAGGAATCATAAGTCTCAAGCAGGATAAGTGAAAAATAGTATTTCGAAGATTTCAGCTCAATTTATTGGATGTGGAATACATGTCTTTCTTCTCTCATGTATTCTGTTGTAATAATTGGAAAGAAAAAAGGTTTGAAGACTGGCTACTCATCCATTCAACCTAAAGTGAAGCACTGAATATGCTTATAGGCTGAAAGGAACAAAGCCTCCAATGAAGCTTTAGGGTATGGGATTAAGAGCCCAGATAAGGGATGTGGCCTCTGACACTGAAGTTAAGAGGGGGATGCTGGGTGATCATGTAAGTAAGAAGGGCAGGAAATTGCTTATTTAAGTAGCAGGATAAAACAGAGTTGGGAAGGAATTGTGTAAATAGCTTGGGAGGACTGGCGAGACTTTTCTATAATTGTTGGGAATAAGAGAGGGAGAGGATTAAACAAAGATAAGATAATTTTCAGTCTCTTGGCTGACAATGAAGTATTGGGCAAATGTTTATTACTAAAATTTCTGGTATGTGCCTTTGTGGTTAACATTGTTCTGGAATTACTACTCAAATTATTAGAGAAGAAAAGTAAATATAGTTATCAGATAAAAGGAAAAATTATATGTATTTGTAGATTCTAATTAGACAAACTGATTCTAAAACTGAAAAAATAAACTTTAAAGAATAGCCAGAGAAACAATGCATAAGAAGGCCAAGAAAGTGAGAGGAGGGCTGCAGGTAAACCCAGTTATTTAAAAAGTTGTAACAATTTAAACATTTTAGAACTGGCACATAAATAGAGAGTCCAGAGGTAAACCCATAAAGAAGTGACATTTTGATTTAGGGAAATACCTTACTCAACATATGTTATTAGAAAAAAACAAAACAAAACTGGAATCCTATGTCATTTATACTTAATTCCAGATTGGCTGAAAATTCAAATGTGAAAAATACTGTAAAAATAATGGAGAAAAATCCAAAACAAAACAAACAAAAAAAGACTGGATAAGTTTGGATATATACAAAGAAAACATTTCTGGATGGAAAAATACTATAAGCAAAGTTTAAAATATCAATAAATTGGGAAACAATATCTAAATGTCAGCAAAGCACTAACTTAATACATCAAGTGATGTTAAGAATTCACATGGTAGAAAACTGTAAAGGACATAAACAGGCAATTCACAAAACAAAATAGATTTCGAACATTTGGAAAGATTCTTAACCTCATTCATAAATAAATGCAAGTTAAAATAATAATGATATAAATTTTAACCTCAGACTGGTAAAGATTATTTTTGACAAGGATGTAGTGAAATCAGTATCTTACTGGTTGTTGTTGAGTGTTAATTGGTAAAACCTTTTAGAGAGTATTTAATATTATCTTCCAGATTTTAAAAGGGTACCTATCATATCCTCTGACCTAGCCTTTTTCTATGTAGATAAACTCCCTTTTGGAAAAAAAAAGTATATCAGTAAGTGATAGAGTAGACATTTAGATGTGAGCTAGAGGCAAGGGAAGGTGATAAATAGGTTACATATTAGAAGTCTGGGGCACAACACCCTGAATTTGTGGCTTCCAAGACCCTGGGGCTAACAGACCAAGAGCCACAGGTGCAGAACTGGCTCTTCTCTTCCACCTCTGCCCCAGGGTAACCCCTACACTCATTATAATATATTTGCATTGCACTTTTTAGCCCCGCCCCATGGGCAAAGGCTGCCATGACAGTTTGGTACAAACCTTGTAGGGTCAAAAACTCCCCCTCCCAACCTGTGAGAGGAGTCCCCCAAATGACTGGAAGCAGCCTCCATTAGAGACCGCCCCTCTATGAAGAAGACCCCCGCTCCTATAAAAAGAACCCCTATAGTCTTAGGGCAGTTGCCACCTCTGGGCCAGCCTACTCTCCCACCTTGAGAGTATACTGTCTCTAATAAATTGCTTTCTGCTATTTTCCTTCTGTCTTTACTGGAGTGCAGATCCTCAGGTAAATCTTTCGTGGGGAATCCAAGAATCGACACCTCCATTCACACAAGGTGGACTATCCTACCAGGAATATAAGGATGCTTATTATAACAAAAAATAGGAAACAAATGTCCATCCATAAGCGACCAATTAAAATGACACCTTCATATAATCGCATATACATACAAAACTACGAAAAAGAATGTTAGGGGCCCCTGTGTGGCTCAATGGGTTAAGCTGCCCACTCTCGATTTGGGCTCAGGTCCTGATCTTAGGGTCCTGGGATTGAGCCTGGTGAAGGGCTCCACACTCAGCAGGGTGTCTGCTGGAGGATTCCCTCCGCCCCTCACCACGCTCACATGTGTGCTCTCTCTCTCTCAAATAAATACATCTTAAAAAAGAGAGAGAGAATGTTAAATATTCACTGATAATAAAATATTTATGTGCTAGTAAGTATTCTAGGTATTGGAGCTGTAGCTATAAACAAAAAGACAAAAATCCCTATCTTCACGGAGCTCTTATTCCAATAAGGGACAGGGAACAGTGAGATGCACAAAAGGGCGGATAGGATGCTCATTAGCGTTAAAAAGAAGAGGGAGACGCAAGCACACAGAAATAAACATGTTTGTCCATGCACAGAAAATCTTTGACGGGTAATAAAAGGAACCGATTGCCACCGGGAAGGAGGTCTCGAGATCTGAGGAGGGAATCTTTGTTTCCTACGAAAATGTGTTTCTCACCACATGTATATTAATTAAAAAGTCTCAGCCTCACAGAATCATATGCCTAGGTCCTAAGTCCGAAGTAGGTTCTCAATACTGCCATCCTGCTACGCTGGGGACGCCAATCAGGGGCGGGTATAAGGGCAGGCAGTGGGAAAAGGAGTTCCTAGAGGCATCCCAGTGTGTGGAGAGTCGGCCGGGAACAAAGCACAAACCATATAAGATATGACGTTACAGAGTATGGTAGAGAGGAAAACTAGGCGCTGTGAGAGCGAGTTCAGAAAGGAGAGCAGCGCCACGTTTCACTTCGGAAGAGCGAAGGTAGTGAGGCCGATTTTGCAGCTCTGCGCCTGCGCCAAACGGCAGCGCTTTTGCTCCCGGGGCCGTTGGGAGGCGCCGAAACGTTCGGACCTCGTTCCAAGGCCCTCAGGGGCGAAGGACGCTCGCTTTTTCCGGGTCGGGTATTGAAGAGAGTCACTTCCTGTGACGGAGCTACGTCACTTCCACTTAAGATCGGCGTCTGGTCAGTGGGAACCCACGCGCTTTCAACATGCGTATTGAGAAGTGTTATTTCTGTTCGGGCCCTATTTACCCCGGCCACGGCATGATGTTTGTCCGCAACGATTGCAAGGTGAGGCGCCCAGAACCAGCGCGCGCTCTGCGACGCTCCCGCGAGCGTGAGGCCGCGCCAGCTAGGCGCAGGCTCCTCCTGCGTCTGGGGCGTTTGGCTCGGGTTTTCCGCGCTGCTCTCACGAGAGGGTGATTTTACGAGGAGCTCTGGCCTTGTCCTGGACCTGGGGAATTTCTCCTTGTGGGTGTCCCAAACCGAGCTGGTCACCAACCCAGCCTTCGACAAGGCTGGCGGCGGTGAGGTTCCCCAGTTATTTGAGCCAGCGCAGAATGGAATCTAGGGGTGTGTTCGGGCTGTTTGGGCACTCTTGTCCGTGAGTGAAGTTTTTGAATTCAGTAAATTTTGTTGAATGTATGCCCAGTCAAGCATCATTGCTAAGATCTGTGTCCATAGAGATGAGTAAGACTTGGGAATGCCCGTGACGTGTAGACGTTGACCGAAATGTTGCCTATGGCTTAGTAGTAGTTACGTATTACGAAGGCGGGCGCAGGTGAGTTGGGGAGGGTCATATATGAAAAGGCTCAGAAAGGAGATGTCATTTATTCTGGATCTTGAATGTTGCGTAAAAAAGTGAGGAGAGTACATTCTAGGTGGAAGTAAAAGTGAACGGTTGAGTAGAGGCTCAGCGAAGCAGTCTAAGGAAGTGAGTGGATTGTATATCGTGATAGAGGCTTGGGGTAAGGCTATAAATACACATGTAAGTCTGTATATAAAAAGATACGTACAGAAACATAAAATACGGGGCGCCTGGGTGGCTCAGACGTTAAGCGTCTGCCTTCGGCTCAGGTCATGATCCCAGGGTCCCAGTATTTTGGCTTGTGGTACATACACACAGGTTTGTGATCTGTATACACAATTTGAAATGTTTATACCTCATTTTGACCTTTTTTTAATGGGTCACATCTTCTAGGTATGATAATTCAACTTAAGATTCTTTGTCAAGATCCATGTACTCCAAAGTAGTACTTTTTCTCTTCAGATTTCCTCTACATGAACAAATTGCAGTGTGTTCTAAGACATTACAAAGTAATAAAATATGTATTTTAGACTTCTAATGAGTCCCAGTAAGCCATTTCAGGGGCACATTGAAGCATCATTAAATCATAAGTTAGCACTGATAAAGGGTCATATCTTCTGGGATAAAGCAGGCGGGAAGCCTGCTTCTCCCTCTCCCGCTCCCCCTGCTTGTGTTCCCTCTCTCGCTGTCTCTCTCTCTGTCAAATGAATAAATAAAATCTTTAAAGAAAAACATAAAATATAAACATAATTATGAGGACTGGTTGCGATAGACTTTGAATGATACATGAATTTGTCTTATGGTAGAATGTATCTCATTCTATGTTTATTTAACACATTGTTTCTCAGAATTCGACCTTTCATATTTGCTTCTGAATCACTGGGCACTTGTAAAAAAAAAAAGATTCCTTGTTTCTACTAAATCTATTAAATTGGTATCTTTGTGGGGAGGAGAAGAGGACCTAGGACTCTATATTTAACAGGTGACTTTGATATGCCAAGGAATTACAGATCCTATGTCATCACCTTATATCTCTTACAGACAGAAGATATTGGCGTCATTAATTAGGAGCAAGGGGTTCCTGCGGAAAGTGTGGGACCAAAGACACTTGAAAGAACATGCAGAAGATTTTTGAATACTTGCTCTCAGGAACATGATTAAAAGTTCATAGAAACGAACTAAATAATTGTTAGGTTGGCATTTAATTCACAGTGGGCACTGTGGCTTTGTAGATGATCTGGTCATCATAATTTTATGATTTTTGTCGAGCAGTGCTTCTCAGGTGGGTATAGAAATTAGAACAACAGATCATGGGAGGTATTGAGAGTTGGGTGTTGATCTGGCAGACACAGTGGAAGTTCATGTTGATGAGGAAGTCTGTATTGCTAGCAAGGACAAGTTTGAATTGGCTGGGAGCCAGCTTACTCTTGGGAATACCGGTGGATCCAAAATAGAGTTGGCTGGGGATATAAGAAGCAGAGGCCCTGAAGCACCAAGGAAGATAGGTATCTCATTTTTTTCTGTGTTAGTGATTCCCAGATCTGTGTCTTTTTAGCTCTAGTCTGAATTTTCCACTGGATGGGGAAATCCTGTTTGTACGGAACAGTGAGCCTAGTGAAAGAGTTCCTAATTACCTCAAATCTTTTTTGTTTCTGAATTAATACCACTGTCATATGCCTAGACAGTTTTGCTAGAAAGGTGAGTCATCTTTGAACCTTTCACCTTTAATTTAGTTATCAAGTCTTACCCATCTGCCTCTGCAGAGTATTGAAGAATTTTCCTAGTAGACCTATGAATAAATACTTTAGAACACAAATCTATACCCAGTGTTAGTTGCTTTTTGAAATTATTTTGTGCTTTTAACAAAAAGGATAGAACCAAACGAGTTTCAGAATAGGTGTTTGAAACTTTCACCCCCATTGAGGTGTATAGCAAGTGAAATCTGAGAATTATTGTTTAGGAAGGGATTTAAATGACTTTCCTTGAAACCATTGTTTTTATTCAAGATGATTATAGGTTTTATTGTTAATATATAAAAATGATAGTTTTTAACCATATATTGGGGCCCTTCAGCCATTAGTTGTGATGATATTTGGTTAAATAATAGTCAAAATAGTTAAGTAATAGTCAAAATAATTCAGTTACATTTAATCTTACATGTCTCACATATTTCTAAATGGTGTTGTAAGTACAAGGAATTGTTAATGAGAACCATTGTCATTTCTCAGACTTTGCGTTATATTTTGTCTGTCATGCATAACATCCTAGGATAGAAACATTCTTAATGTTGACTCCAGTGTTTTAACTTTTCTTGTAGGTGTTCAGATTCTGCAAATCCAAATGTCATAAAAACTTTAAAAAGAAGCGGAATCCTCGCAAGGTCAGGTGGACTAAAGCATTCCGTAAAGCAGCTGGTAAAGAGCTTACGGTGGTGAGTATAGTTAGTTTTAACTTTTGTGTGGGAGGGTTATTATTAGGTATTAAATGTAATTTAACTACAACAAGACTTTCTGTGATAAGATTGGTGAGTGATTTATTTGTATTTGGCTATTGTAATAATTTTCTCACATGATCCTAAAACCATAAATCTGTAGAATTCTGTAAAGGAAATAAATTCCTAATTCAGTTTATGGAAGTGATTTTCCTTATTCTCAAAAAACCATTTTTTTAGCTCCTGCAGACAAAAGGGAAAAATCATTTAAATGGATCGGGGTGAAGTTAGAAATTACTAGTCAAGGATTTTGAGAGGAAGCTAAGACATTAAAGGATTCCTGAATACCATTGAAGGCTCTGATGAGATTTGTTGTAGACTCATTTGTTAGTTTCTGGGTTTCCTTACAGGACTTTGAGACCAGAGAAGTGTGTTGATTGAAGAAGGAATAGTGGGAAGTCAGGGGTGAGGGAATTTCATGCATGAGTGTCCATCGTCAGGTTGTTGTTAACTGAGTTGGTAGGAGGGCCTGGTGAAACTTGTCCACATTTGACCCCTATAAAGGAGGACGTGAAAGCTGCTGCACAAGCTGCCTTTGAAGGAGGAAGATCATTAAACTGTTCCTTCCCTCCATGACTTCCTCTTTCCCACCTCTCTACTCCTTTAAGGGCAGTTTCTAAGCGGTTGCTATGAAGCCCCTTCCTGGCTTCATTTTCAACAAATGGGAAGAATATATTTTGACAAGATGCAAAGCCAAATCACATTTTTTTTTTTAAATTTTATTTATTTATTTGACTGAGAGAGCGAGAGAGCACAAGCAGGGGGAACAATAGAGGGAGAGGGGTGAAGCAGGCTCCCCGCCAAGCAGGGAGCCCGATGCGGGGCTCGATTCCAGGACCCTGAGATCATGACCTGAGCCAAAGGCAGACGCTTAACCGTCTGAGCCACCCAGGCGCCCCCCAGATCACAATTATTGTCACAAAAATAATTTCCAGTATGGACAAGAATAAACAGCACTTCAAACTCAAGTGACAACTGCATGAGTGAAGAAAGGATGCCAGTCACAGTCATTTGCTGGTGACCAGTTACCTTGTCATTGCTGAGGTTATTGTGATTTAACAGGTCATGTGTATATAATGAAATAGGTAAATACAGAGTTAGTGCTGTTCCATTTGCCTATCTCAGATTTGAAAACTAAGAAATAGAACTGTAGTTTTTCTAAGAAACCTGTAGCATTTCTAAAATTGTTTCACATGTTTTAAGGTAAATAGGATTTACTAACTGTCAAAATACCAACTACATTTAGAGGGGACCAGAAAAATTTCTGGGAGAAAATTTGTCATCAAAGCAGCACCACATTTATTTGAAGATGTGTAGTTGTACACCTTTATGCTATAATAGAGGTATATAAATATTGAAATATATAAACATGATAGGTATATAGGTTGAACAATATGAAGTGCACAATGTTTGACTCTTTTTGATCTATGAAAAGTGGTAATTCATATGGTTCAGCCTAATAGAAAGTTTTCTGCCTGTGAGTCTCATCTAGGAATGGAAAATTAGGGAAGCCTCTTCAGTTTGTTTGAAATCTCCATGATTGTTGTATGACCCTCTGAAGAATGGGGCTGATACCCTCCTCCTCTTTTCTTAAAAATTACTTGTATATAGATTGATATTTCAGTAGGGCTGTCTTATGTACCTGGTGTGTAAAGGAGAAGTAGTATGAAAACTTTGGCATTTGCTAGGGTCACCCTGGGGAAATCTTAATATATGTCTGTGGTTTGAAACACAACTCTTATGACAAGGGGGATAAGTTTTTAAGAAATGTTTCTTTTGTATCTCTCTTAAAACCACATTTTCCCCTTTCTTACAGGATAATTCATTTGAATTTGAAAAACGTAGAAATGAACCTGTCAAATACCAGCGAGAGTTATGGAATAAAACTAGTAAGTCACAAAGAATTATCAGGAATTTTCAGGAGAGATTGTTTGGGGATATTACTTTGAATTTAATGTTTAAATATGAATATTCTTTTCATTGGTTAGCTTTTATTCTTAATTTTCATTTTAATGGTTCTGTTGTAGTTACATCTTTTATGATAAGCTGCCCCCAATTTTTTTCAGAATTGGCTCATATAGCCATTATAAAAGTAATGTAGGGGTTCCTAGGTGGCTCAGTTAGTTAAGCGTCCAACTCTTGGTTTCAGCTCAGGTCATGATCTCAGGGTCATGGGATCGAGCCCCACGTTGGGCTCTGCACTCAGTGTGGAGTCTGCTGGAGATTCTCTCCTCCCTCTGCTCCTCCCCCTGGTCACTTCTCTCTAAAATAAATAAAATCTTTAAAAAAATTGTAATTATTAGATTTGATATTATTTGGAGTGTCTATACAGGGATATAAAAAGATCTAAAAATCTGAGAAGAATAGAGGTGGAGAATTCGTTTTTGTGGTGAGTGTGGCATAGTTAAAATATACACAAAACCTAACATACTTTACAAGTTTAAATAATTTGGTTTAGGGATATAAACATTATATTCTGTATACCTTATGAAATGTAATGCTTCTGTAAAATTAAAAAGTACAGCACTTAAGGTGATAATTATATTTCCTAAGAGAACTTCTAAGTGCATGACTTAGGTATAAATCAAGCTATAGGCTACTGAAGTTAAAAGCAAGGATAACTAGTCCTTGTTTTTTTTCATTTATCTGAAGTAGGCAGAGACTAATGAGAAAAAAAAAATCCCATATGTAGTAAAACTAAATTCCTTAAGCTAGCTTGCAGATGCCCCTATGTGTGTGTTTGAGGCCCTTGGCCTTGACTTTTCTTCTCCCTATAGCTGTCTTATGCAGTCTTTAGCCATTTCTAGGCTTGGGTGTAGAGGTGATATAGTTGGTTTGTTAATTAGCAGTCCCCAGGGCTCAGAGTCTATCAGTTTTGTTTTTTTTTTTTAAGATTTTATTTATTTGACAGAGCTGGGGGAGGGGAATGGGAAAGAGCAAAGCAGGCTCCCTTCTGCGCAGGCCCCCTCACCACCTCCCCTTTTCTCAGTGCAGGGCTCAGTCCCAAAATCCTGGAATCATGACCTGAGCTGAAGGCATACACTTAACCGACTGAGCCACCCAGGTGCCCCGACTTTATCAGATTTGAATGGATCATAGGCAGGGCATCCTTTTCATCACCTTTTGCCCAGTCATAGCACTTCAGGGGAGGAATTGAAAAATTACCACAAAAATTAGGTCTTTGTGGTAGTATTTGTTACCCTCTAAAGCTTTTTATCTTCCTAGACCATGTGGAGAAATCAGAGTCCAGTTTTGGAATTGCATTTTCCACATGGCCTTAAGTATTTTGCCTTTTTGTGTTTTGTTTTTTTAAAGTCTTTCCTTCTGTTTTGTAGTTAGAGGAAGAGTTAATTTCTGAAAAATTGATTTTACCAGGTTTATTTGGTAAGGAAATAACACTGATTCAAACTCAATGATTTCTGAAGAGATTAATAGGATTCTTTTTTTTTAATTGAGATATAATTGACATAACATTTGTTTAAGATGTACAACATAATGATTTGATTTTTGCATATATTGTGACATGATCACAGTAAGTCTAGTTAACATCTATCACCACACATTTTTGATAAGAATTCTTATGATTCTAAAAGGCAGACTTGTCAAGGACATTATTAGAAGGTCCTAAAGCATTCCTATATCCCATTGAATTTTATTTAATTTTGGCCTTTGTTTTCTTTTTTGTTACTATCTGATAGCTGCTTCAGATTTGATTTCCCACAACCCCTATTTCAGTATCATAGGTCTGTAAGCTAATCTGTTGACAATAGTTTTATATTCATTGCTTACATTTTTGAATCATGTGAAGATGTGGACTGAGCAACCTTTGTTAAGATGCTGATGTCAACAGTAGGAGAACTTCAAAAACAAAAATACTGGGAAGAATAGTTTGTATTTTATCCCTCATGTCTCTGTATTTCAGTATATGTGCTGCCGAAGCGAGCACTCATGTCTCTGTATTTCAGATCAGTTTTTTAATATCAGGTGCTTCTTGCATTTAAAATTTTTCAGTCATCTGGAATTATTGGAAATATAGTGTCTTACTGTTCGGAAAGGATTTACCTGCCACTTCTTTGTTTATTTCCCTGCTGAGTAACTTTAAAATATAGAAATACTTTTGAATACTAGAGCTTGGTCTTATCAATTTTTGTTGAAAGGCAAAGAAAGAAAAACATATATTTAGCATATTTAGCATGTGTAGATTTAGAGTTGACTTTCTCTTAGACTATCATACAAACATCATAGTAATACCAGTGGCCCCAGGGGGCCTCCTGGGGAGTCTTGTTAAAATGCAGATTTTGATATAGCATGTCTGGGTGGAGCCTAAGATTCTGCATTTCTAACAAGCTCTCAGATGATGCCAATGTTGCTGGACCCCAGATTACACTTAAATGTGTTGGGTTTTTGTTGTTTTATTTACTTATTTTTAAGGTTTTATTTATTAGTGAGTGAGCATGAGCAGGGGGCGAGGAAGGGCAGAGGGAGAGGGAGAAGCAGACTCCCCAATGAGCAGGGAGCCCGATGTGGGGCTTGATCCCAGAACCCTGAGATCATGACCTGAGCCAAAGGCAGACACTTAACTGACTGAGCTTAGCCAGGCATCCTATACTTAAATGTTTTTGACTTAATTTTAAACTGAACAGAAAAGTTGCAGAATTCCTTCATCCAGATTCCTCAGATAACATTTTACTGAATTTACCCACTTTCTCTCTCCCTTTCTGACCTTCTATAATTTTCTGAACTTTAAGTTATATACATAAGGGGCACCTGGCAATACATAATGCTTTTATCCCTAAGTAGTTTTAACAGAACTAAAAAAAATAGAACATTCTCCTACATAACCATAGTGCAGTTATTTATTTTTATTTTTTTATTTTTATTTTTTAAAGATTTTATTTATTCATTTGTGAGAGAGACAGAGAACAAGCAGGGGGAGAGGCAGAGGGAGAGGGAGAAGCAAACTCCCTGCTGAGCAAGGAGCCTGATGCGGGACTCGATCCCAGGACCTTGGGATCATGACCTGAGTGGAAGGCAGATGCTTAACCATCTGAGCCACCCAGGTGCCCCATAGTGCAGTTATTAAAGTCAAGAAATTAACATTGATATAGTATTATCATCTAATCTCAGACCTGTGTAAGAATAGTACATGCCCTGGGGCACCTGGGTGGTTCAGTCGTTGGGCATTTGCCTTCGGCTTGGGTCGTGATCCCAGGGTGCTGGGATCGAGCCCAGTGTCGGGCTCCCAGCTCAGCGGGAAACCTGCTTCTCCCTCTCCCACTCCCCCTGCTTGTGTTCCCTCTCTTGCTGTGTCTCTCTCTGTCAAATAAATAAAATCTTTTAAAAAAAAAAAAGATAGTACATTCCCTGTCTCTTTGAAATTGTAATAGTTTGCGAGTTTTTATATTTCATGACATTGATAGTTTTGAAGAGTATGTTTCAAGCATTTGGTATAAAATCCCCCTTTTTTTTTTTTAAAGATTTTATTTATTTATTTGAGAGAGAGAATGAGATAGAGAGCATGAGAGGGGGGAGGGTCAGAGGGAGAAGTAGACTCCCTGCTGAGCAGGGAGCCCGATGCGGGACTCGATCCCCAGACTCCAGGATCATGACCTGAGCCGAAGGCAGTCGCTTAACCAACTGAGCCACCCAGGCACCCTGGTATAAAATCCCTTAATTAGCTTTTATCTGATGCTGCCTCAAGATTAGATTTGGATATTATACATTTGGTAGGAGTACTGTAGATGTGATGCTGAGTTCTTATCATTGTGTCCTGCCCGGAGGCATGTGCTATCCACTGGGGTCGTATTACTGGCCATGTTAACTTTGATCATTGATTAAGGTGGTAGGTTTCTTCACTGTACAGTTAGTATTTTATCCGTTGTAATTAGTAAGTATATTGTGGGGAGATATTTTAAGATTATGTGAATATCCTGCTCTTCTTCAGAGCCATAGAATGTAAGAAGTTAGATTGGGAGTGTGTGCCCACACAACCCCCACAGGGGCTGCTGAGCTCTTAAAATGTGGTTAGTCTGATTCCAGATTTGCAGTAAATGTAAAGTACATGATTTTTGAGGACTTCATATGAAAACAAGAATAAGATAACCTCAGTTAATTTTTATATTATGTTGAAATGACAGTATTTTGGATATATTGGGTTAGACAAAATCTATTACTAGATTTTGACCTGTTCCTTATTTTTTACTGTGGCTGCCAGAAAACTTAAAATTATATATGTGGTTTGTCTTTAGTGCTGGTATAGATTCTAGAGTGTATTTGGATTCAGCTTCTCTACACATTTCCCAGAACAGTTGGATTTTAGTGGTTGGGAACATGTTAAAGTGATTGGTTCAATCTACCAATATTCATCATGTGCAGATCATATCCCAGACACTTGAAGAAAGAGTATTTATGGCCAGAATGGTGCTTTTATTAACGGAGAGGACAAACTAAGAGGGGATAAGTTGCCATTAGTCCCGATTCTCTGTAAAGTTTGAAAAGCATTGGGCTGGTTTAAAGTAGAAAGAAAATTTAGTAGCAGTAAGGGCTTTTGTCAAATAAAAATAGAGATGTATTTGCGAAAGATAAACAGTGATGTCAGCCAAGAGTATTTACCTTCTTCAGCTGTTTTAGTAGGGATTGTTTTTGCAATGAGTTTTTCATTTAATCCATTTCTAAATGAGAATAAAGGGGAGTGATCGCTAAAGCTCTTGCTTGGATGTGCAAAAATTTGCTAACTCTTATGAATTTTTTTTGTAGTTGATGCAATGAAGAGAGTTGAAGAGATCAAACAGAAGCGCCAAGCTAAATTTATAATGAACAGGTATGAATGAATATATGTATCAAGTAACTCTTGGAAAAATAATTACTGGTAGAGATCCAGAGATTTTTTTTTTCCACTTTCTGTTTTCACATAACCTCAGAAAATTAAAGGAATTAAGAATAGTATAAAGAACTTTTGTGTATTCTTTACTGTATCCTTATCTCTATAGTAAGTTGAAGACATGATGCCCTTTTCCTATTTTTCAGCGTATATATTCTAAAAATAAGAGCATGCTCTTATATAACTATAGTATAGTTACCAGAATCAGGAAATTAACATTGAACAATACTATTACATAACCTACAGACCTTAGATTTCACCAGTTCCAGGCATTTTCTTTATAGCAACAGAAAATCCTGGATCTTGCATTGCATTTAGTGGTTATATCTCCTCAAGCTATTTTAATCTGGACACTTTCTCATCTTTGTCTTATATGACATTGACATTTTTGAAGAGTACATGTCAGTTATTTTATAGAATGTTCCTCAGTTTGTGTTTGTCTAATGTTTCCTCATGATTAGATTCAGGTTAGGTATTTTGGCCAGAATATCATAGAAATGATACATAAGAAGGACATACATATTAGGAGGCACATGTTGTCCCGAGTGACTGATCAGTTGGTTAAGGGGTATCTGTTAGTTTTCTCCATTGGAAAGTTTTTTCCCTCCTTTTTAATCATATCTTATCTTAGGGGAAATACTTTGACACTCTGTACAAAGAGTCCCTTATTTCTCAAACTGGTGCCTACTGATGTTAACATCCAGTAGAGTCTTGTCTGAATCTGTTACTATATTGTTGCCAAATGGTGATTTTTCTAATTCAATAATTTCTTTTACACTTATTAGTTGGCTTTCCCATATAAAAGAACTTTTCCCTTTTCCAATTTCAGAATGTATTCCTTTATTAATTATTCATATATCTGTGTGTATTCAATTATTGATCATTATTTTGATGTTCTAAGTGCCTCACATTGGCCAGTGGGAGTTCCTTCAGGCAGGCTTCCATGTCGTTTTGACAACTTCATCTTTTTTGGGATGCTTTCTTGCTTTATGGCTAACAAGATCTGGCCTCATCTTGTACTTCCGTGGCCCCAGCCTAGAATTGGTTCTTTTTTTTTTTTTTTTTTTAAGATTTTCTCTATTTGATAGAGACAATGAGAGAGGGGAGACAATGAGAGAGGGAACACAAGCAGGGGGAGTGGGAGAGGGAGAAGCAGGCTTCCTGCTGAGCAGGGAGCCCGATGCAGGGCTTGATCCCAGCACCCTGGAATCATGACCTGAGCTGAAGGCAAATGCCCAATGACTGAACCACCCAGGGGCCCCTAGAATTGGTTATTTCTTTAGAGTTGAGTTACTTATTTTTGATCTCATCACTACTTAAGTGTGTCATAGAAAAGCATGTGCAAACAGCTTTCTGGCTTTAAAAAAAATGAAGTGTTACAGAAAGGGAGCCTAAATGTTTGGGAAAGACTGTTAGCATGTTTGTCTAAAATGAATGTCTTATATGTTTTGTGTTCTTACAATTACTGACTTAAAAAAATTAGGTAACAGTGTATTCTCCATTTGAGGAGAAAAACATCTAGGCACTTTAGCAATTAGAGATTTACACTGTATTTGTATAATAGACATTGATTTCTGAGATTCCTTTCCTTCAGTCACATTTCTTCATTCAGCAAATATATATTAATCTCTACATTATTCCCAACTAAGTTAGGGATACAATCAATGAGTAAGTTGGTAGTGTAGAAATCCTGTTTTGTTAAGCTTATTAGGAACTAGAAAATAATTTTTAGTTTTCATTGCTCATATATATGGCTAATAAAATTTATTTTTATAAATTATGAATTAATGTCTTTTAAAGAAGTTAAAGTAACTGAAAATTTGGCTTTGATATGTTTTATCCTAGATTAAAGAAAAATAAAGAATTACAGAAAGTTCAGGACATCAAAGAAGTCAAGCAAAACATTCATCTTATCCAGGCCCCTCTTGCAGGTAAGTACATTACACAGGAGTTCTCTTTCAGTAGAGAGCTGAAAAATCTACATTGTTGTTGTCTATGTAAATGCATATCAGTCAACTTTTTATGGGTTTTTTTTATGTAAATACCTCATTTATGATATGACTTGGTTTTTAAAAATATGATTTATACAGTGTATTTCCCAGTTCCAATTTTATTGCATATGGTGTTTCTTTTCCCCCTTCATAAAATCATATTCCATAAGCTAGTCATAAAGATTCGAGTAATAATTTCATAGATTTTGCTTCATACTTGTTTTTATTAAGAACAGTGTTTTGTAGGAGTGGTTTCCTAACTTTGGTTGGAATGGGAATTACTTGGGGAATTTAGTATAAATACAGAGGCCCAGGCCTATTGAGTCTGAGCTTTGGTTACTTAGTAGCTCTCTGGGTTCTGATACTGATTTTGATACTCAAGTTTGAGAACTGCTGTTTTGTATTAAAACCTTTTTTGTGTGTTTATGTAACTTGCCTGTAGTCACCCATTTGGGCAGTTGTTTGTGTGCATAGTTTCTTTTGTGAGGTGCTGGAAAACCAGTTTCCTACTCAGCTGGCACCGGACACCATCTGTACGTAATTTACTTATGCAGATTACCTGAAGGGAGAGAAATTTTGGTGAGATTTAGTTGAAGAGTTGATTCCTGAATGATTCCGTGCCTAAACTTGAATAAAGGTCAAATTCTGAAACTGCACGTTGAATAGATTTATGTAAAAGTCTTAAATAGGTTAATTTTTGTACCAAATTTTATTAAAACAAAAATAGGCAAAATCCTGGATTATTTCATAATTTCATGTATAGGCGGTAATGAACTGACCCCCAAAAAACAGGAATGAACCATTATTTAACTTTTTAGGTAACCCTCTGAGGGGAGGTAATCCAGAGGGCCAGGGTTCCAATCCTAGCTCTTTGACTTACTGGGCTTACTTAGTGATTTGGTACAATTTCATCTTTTCTGGGTCTCCGGTCTCTCATATTTAAAATGCAGGTTGTTAGGAGGGTGAAGTGAACAAATGTGTATGGAATGCTTACTTTATGCATGGCATATTGTAAGACCTGTGTAAGTTTAGTTACTATTCTTAAATTTCTTAGAAATGGTTATTTTAGAACATCTAAGATCCTTTATAAAGCGTTGATATGGGTTTGGCAAGGTCACATTGATAGTTTTTTTTTTTTTTCTTAAGGCAAAGGAAAGCAGCTGGAAGAAAAAATGGTGCAGAAATTACAACAGGATGTGGACATGGAAGATATTTCTTAAAAATCTCACTAACTTTATAAGTGTATTTGAAAATCTCTTTAGGAGACTAAGAACTGAATTATCAATTTATATCTTAAGTAAGGTCACTCAAATGAAAGGTAATTAAAAATGCATCTCTCCTACATTGCTGTCTGTAAAACATTATCCATATTATGGATGTTAGATTGCATCTCCATCGTTAAACCTTCACTGAGAGTTTACATTTATGTAAGTCGTGCAAATTCTCTTTGTAAATACAGACTGAAGTGTGGAAATAAACTGGTCCTGCCATTTGGATAGTGGCACTAGGTAGATTTATGTGTGAACTAACAACAAAAATTCATGGCTAGCAATATGTAAAATAAATTTTCTTTGCGGTAAAATATTCCCTGTATTAATATTATAGAAAGGGGGCTTACAACAAGGAACTAAACCTGTATGATAATTAGCTGCAAGTAATCTTTTAATTTGTTTTGGTTTCTTAGCATCTTAGAAGAACATACTGGCCTCACATATTGAAACCTAATTATGTTGGACTGTTTTCACCTGCGCTGTTTTGATAGGCAGCTCCTAATGTTGGGGGTGAGAGCTGAATAGTGTGCTCCTGAAATGGCACTATCATATACTTTCTACTTTGGAGAATACTTAATTCTGAGATTCCTGATTGATAGAACCAGATATATTTTTCCAGCATAGCAATGATTTAGAAGCAAAGGAATCGCAGTGCCTTTTAAGATAGGTTGTGTGGTTTTCTTTTATAAAGCTCCTAATTGTTTTTCAAAAATAGAATTTATGGTTTTAGCATCACAAATTTGCACATAAGATCCTTTTTTCCAAAGTAAGTAACTACAAGTTTTTTGTTTAAAAGTTACTAAAAAAAGTATTAATTAGTGGGAAGAAAATAACCCCCTCCTACATACTACTGAAGCAGGAGATACATTTTTAATTAAAAATATGTACTGAATGTTTAATGTTTTTATATTTCTACATTATTTGCAACTTTAAGGATCAGAAGTAACTCAGTTTTTTTATATTTTTTGAGGACATAACTTAGAATAAATTATAATCTTAGGGTTATAAAATTATAAAGAAATGACTAAATTTTTATTTCAGTATTAGTGAAAAAGTGACTGATCACTGGACCAGGTGTTGGAAGACCTGAATTCCAGTGTGGCTTTTGCCTTTGTGTTCTTATTTGTAAAATATAGCTCATTTGTAAATAACTTTATTGATAAAACAATTAGGAGAAATGATATATGAAACCAAAGACATTTGTTAAATTACTTGAAGTTTTCACTCCATAGATTTAATTTTGCTTTAATAGAGACATGTTTAAGATTACCTGTTAGCAGATTTCCTACCTTGTTAACAAGCTATTGCCTTGAGACCATCAATTTGGGAAATTGAGCTAAAAGGAAGAACTGACATTGCATCTCAGGTTTGACATCCGGAGAGTTTTCGTAAATGTCAGGAATTCATAGTATTTTGAGACCCCCCCCCCCCCGATAGCATCATAAACTATATGGATGCAGATGCCACAGTGTTACCCCTGCAGCTCTCTCAACTTGGTTGGATCACTGACTTGTCCCTTCAAAATGTTGCCTGAGAAGTGGCATGGTACAATGGTATTGTTTCTATTTGATTGAGACCTCTGCTGGGCAGTTAGTGTAACACAAAAGCATAAAATTTTCCAGGCACTTGTTACACAGAACTTTTATATTCTCTAGTTGCTCTAGGGTAATAAAGCACTGGAAGTCATAGAAAAGAAGTTCCTTACACATTTGCCTTACAAAACCCTGTAGGGTAGCAGAAAAAACATTAAGAGGCACTTGGCTGGTTAAGTCAATACAGCATGCAACTCACGATGCTGGGGTTGTGAGTTCTGCCCCACCTTGGGTATAGAGTATACTTAAAGAAAACTTACTAAATCTCATTTCTTAAAAATAGAAAACCTTGAAAGATTTTATCTTGTAGAAAGAAGTTCCATAAGGACTGGCCCATTTCCTAACATCCTGTGAAGTAGCACTCTTTTTATAGATGCCAAAATTTTTAGGTAACTTGCCTCTATCACACAGAAGATGGAGGAGGTAGCAATTTGTATTCATCCAAGTGCCTGTGTCTAGAAGGAATTTATCCAGAGCCTTAGATCCGGTCTTCACAAGTCCCACTGATGGCTGTGAGAGAGGACTGTAAGTTACTTGAGTTTTCTCAGCTTGACTGTGCCTTGATTTCATCATTGGAAAAATGGAAATGATAATATGACTAACCTCAGGATTGTTTATGAGAATCCAATTAGGTAATACATGAAAATAATCATATCAAGGCCACTACCATAGGGGCTGATGTTAAAATGTTAGCTGTTAGGATTGGCTGTGTGACCACACAAAACTCACAGCAATGGGCTTTGCCTCAGGACAAAGGTGGAGGATAATAGTGTTTGGGGATAGATATGGCTAAATTGAATTATAGACTAAGTGCACTGCAGACAGGGTTGCATAGGGTTTAAAATGTTAGTTTTAGCTTTTAATGTCACTTAGAAAATTCACTTACTAAGAGGATCTTACTCCCCATTCTCTGTTATGAAGATTGGGAGGGGCAATACATTTCCCCTTTGTCAGCTAGTAGTTTAAACAGTGAATTGTCACCCATAATTTTAAGGGCTAATTTATATAAGGGAACTTATTTTTCCCCTTGTCCCTTAGCTTACACTTTAAATGGAGATTGAAAAAAGACATCAGACTCTAATTACAAGGATTTATAGTGTAAATTCTAATAATGAAGACTACTGCCTTGTAAAAATTAACACTGTAGCCTGCTGAATTAAGTGTTGGTAAGGGGGAAAATTGGTATCAAAAAAGAGAACCCAATTTCAAAGTCTGTAGGAAGAATTTTCCAAAAATCAACAGTCTTTTATTTATATGTAACAACATTGAAAAGGTAACTCAAATTTTGCCCTGCATGTCTTTATATTGAATATCAATTAGCCTCATGTTGATTTGAATCATTTGTGTCTGTTGATGAATTTCTTTTTAAGGAAGTGACCTTTTCTTAAGAATGTATTCTTATGTTCTGAATGTAAAAAATCTCTACCTTCTGGTGCCACTTACTTAAGCCTCTGGTTTAAACTGTTATGCTCCAAAATTTTCCCTGGCTCTTATATCTTAATTGAAGCCATCATGTGGGGATTGAAGGTGATATTTCTGCTGCATAACCTTCCCTATGGTACCGGTTACTGGATGTTATTCTTTAGCCTATCATTGATTCTGTGGCTACCCTGTGATCTTGCCAGTAGATTCCTTTTTCAACGGTTGTAATCAAAAATCTTGACTAATATCTCCATCCTGTTCAGCAGCAAACCCAGGCAGCCCACTACTATCATAATCTCCAAGGGCACGGGGATGGTTATCTTATCCCTGGCATATATTAGGTACCTGGTGCATGGAAGATGCTTGGTAAGTATGACTAAATGGAAAACAAGTGTGTAGCCATATGTTAGCTTTACTGGAGTTTATTTTTTAAATAACCAGTAACTTGAAAGATATAAAGAATAAATTACCAGCAGTGAGCTACATTAATGACTTCAGCATTGGGCAAATCTGCATTGTTGGGAGGACTTGGTGAAAAGCAATGTTTGCCTTAGGTTGCATACCAGATTTTGTTTATGTCTACTTGTTTAGTGGTGATAGATCAACCTGCATTTCTGGGTTTGGCTGGTGCATTTACATGTTAAGAAATCCCAGGAAGGATTGAGCATAAGCTGTTATGGCAGGGTTCTTAAAGAAGTTTTGCCTGTAACTTGCTTTGCTGATGGAGGAAATACTTTACCTCAGGAGCCACAAGAGTATAAAAATAGAAATAAGGACCATGAATTGGGAAGAATTGGTTAATACTGTAAGAGTACTGCTCCAAAGAATGTTAAACCAAAAATCCAAGGGACAGGTTCTTTAGTATTTTTGAGGAACTCAGTTTTCAATTCTTTTAAATGCGTGCTTTAAGATATCACAATAAAGTGATATATGTTTAGTTTGCTGCCGAGCCATGCACGCCTAGGAACACCAATGAAAAGTATGCCTTTCTGGTCTGAATTACTCCACACAGTTTTCTAGTGTATATCTAATGAGACATATATTTCCTTTTTTTTTTTTTTTTTAAAGATTTGTTTTAGAGTGCACCTAAGCAGGGGGAGAGGGAGAGACAGAATCCTCAAGCAGACTCCCTGCTGAGTGTGGAGCCCAATGTGGGGCTCGACCCCAGGACCCCGAGATCATGACCTGAGCCAAAATCAAGAATCAGACGCTTAACTGACTGAGCCACCCAGGTGCCCCCATATTTCCTCTTTTGAAAGCAAGGAATGCAGTGTAGGGAGTGAGCAAGTTTAAAAAGGGCCCACCAAAAAAAAAAAAAAAAAGGGCCCACCTGAATAAAAAGATTTGCCATTCAAAAGGATAATACAACATACTCATGTTTTGTTAAAGTATAGGTGTCTACCTTGCATTGTTCTCTTCAGTGTTCTGATTCTTCATACTGCCAAACACCAGAGCTAAATAGCTTTTGACTTTGTAGTAATACAGTTCCCCCCATTTCTTAGAACATACACAAGAAGAACAGAAAATACATTAGAAGAATATAAAATGGAAATAAAAATTGTGCAGGAGAATACATCTCAAAGGAGAAAATATGCAGTTCACAACCTCTTAGTACCATTGCTCACACATTTGCAAACATGTAGTACCATCTAGTTCCAGAATTGTGAGAATCTAGTGCCAGTTATTATTATAGCCAGGTACATTGCATATAATATCTTAGAATATTCACAACCTTTTAAGTCAGTCCTCATTTTGCAGATGTGGAACATGAGGTTAAAAGAAATTGAATAGCTTGATCCATGTCACAACTAGCAGAGCTTAGAATTAAGCTCAGTCTGTCTGACTCACTAATTGATATTCTAAACAGCATCTAGTATGATGCCTGGCACAGAGTTGGTGCTCAATATATATTTATTCATTCAAAGAAAAAAAAATCTAACAGTAAAAGAAGGTGTTCTGGAGAATTAGATTTTTATGAAGTATTTTATTTTGTGACTAGAATGGATCTTTTTTTTTTTTTTTACAGTTCTTCTAGGACTGACAGGTGATCATCTGTCCCAGTTTGAGTGTAATTAAGACAGATTTAATGAAATGTTTTTGAAACTTACTGTTTTAAAGGAATTAGTATAGCAATGCCAGTAGTTACAGTTTAATTTATAATTGTTGGAGGAAATAGTCATCTGGCCCTGAAATGTATGCTAATCCTGTTATCCAAAGAAAAATTTAAAATTTTACCAACACCTGCTTTTATTTATGAACAATTTCAGTGTTTATAAGGTTTTAAAATGTTTGTGTCTGCCAGGTGTGAGGCATTTGTTTGCCTCATTTAGCAATAAAATAATTAGTTCATGTTATATTTGAGAAGTTTGAATCATTGGGAATTGTATTCATCTAGTTAAAGTTTATAGGACTTAAAATCTACTGGTACTTAACATTCTTGGGCCAATTCTTGAAATTCTCCAGGATTGTTGAGATTACTGCCCACAAGAGTTCTTTGTCCCAGGGGCTGATAATTCTGATATTGACAAGCTTCAGGGTTGATCTGAGTTGAGAGGTGGCTTTTGAAGATGCTCAATATGCTATTTGAGTTGTCTAGCAACTGATAGGGAAAAGAATCTTAAGATCATGTTCTCAGAATGCATAGCATACATGGTAACATTTCATTCCCACTGTTAAGTAGACTCTCAGGAATAACATGGATCCCACTAGTGATTTTACTTCCTTTGGCTTGATGGGAAGTCCCCACTGGAGATTAGGCATTCAGGAATGTTTGAATCAAAACAATTGAGGAGGAGCTACAGTAGCATCCAGAGAGTGGGCCTTAAACCTTTTGGCACATTAGAATCATATGGGGCAGCCATATGATTAGCATTGCCAGAGCCCTGTCCCAGGTCAATTAAATGAGAATCTCTGGGATTGAGGCCCAGGCATTGGTATTTTTAACAAGCTACCAGGTGAGGGTTGACTAAGATGCCAACATAGGAGCCTCTTGAACTTTCTTCTTTCCATGGACACACAGTGTACAGTTACATACAAAGCAATTACTGCCGAAAAAAATCCAAAAGCTAGCTAAGTGACTTGCACATTGGCCAAATGAAAATAGCCACATCGAAATGGGTGTGAAAGGCTGAGACACACACTTAAAATAAACCCCACCCTGGCACAAGACCAGATAATGAGAAAAAAACAACCAACTCCTAGCTTCTCCCTGTGGAGTGAAGGGTTTGGACTGCACATCTGGTGCCCCATCTTTTAAGACTCCCATCTGAGGGACAGTCTCCCAAAACACCTAGTTCTGAACAGTGAGACTTGTGTCCCATAAAATGTAGCAAAGGAGTAGTTGTTACTGGCATATAAACACTTGCTGTGGCTACCCTCCCTGGGCCCAGTGTAAAGGGAGCAGGCAAAAATCACACATTTCCCAATCTTTTAACTAAAAGGGGATCATCTGCATACTTAGAAAGCTGGTGATTGCAGGTCAGGCTTCTCCTTTAGGGGCTAGATGCATTCTCTGGAGACTGGGGAAACTAGTGGGCTCCTGTTTTCTCCCTACAGCCCACTCTAAGCCACCAATGTCATTGTGGAAGAAACATACATTTGTGCCCCAGCTTTTGCACTGCTGCCCATGGGACATGCCCATGAATCACCTGGTTCTGAAAGTAATGGAGCTTGCATTCATGAGTCCCATAGGACAGGAGCAAGCAAAGAAGTAGTTGTTAACAGGCACAGGAAGAGCCACTTGCAGCTATACATACATGTGGGCCCAGAGCAGAGGGAACAGGCAAAAATACTCCCAATGTCTACCTGGAAGGGGCTTAACTATATACT